CAGTGTAAATGCCCCCTGTCAAAATTGCCAGTTACCGGCTCTCCCCACGCTGTGACAGCTGGCAAGTCTGTTTACAATGTGATCAGCTGTGATTGGGAACAGCTGATCACATGGTAAAGGCTGCTGTGATTGGTCCTGCAATCACAGAGCACGCCCAACGCACCCCAGGGGGCACACGGGGGATGTGGTTTTGGGAGGACGTCTATATCCAATACAGCGCAGTCGGGGCAAAGTTCCTCCTCTTGTTCCACATCTTATCTCCTGATAAGACAGACTGAAACCATAGCCATTCTGCACATGCTCAGATTAGTGTGTATTGCTAGAGAGTTTTTTTTTTCATGGGAGAGTGCATGTGATCAGCACAGGGCCAATCAGCACTGTCCAGACAGACGTCAGGGGTTTTGCATCCTCCTAGAGCAGAAAGAAACTCCTACTACAAGCTTTAACCAGTGTTCTAATGAACACTGATATAAGTCACAAGACTTCTCTACCTGCTGATGAGAAAAGGTATTTAGCAGTTTATAGTTACTAAAATAATTGCATTTCCATGTCCTGTGTACTGTGGGAGACCAGATATAGTGAATGCAGTGTCCTGAGTGACACTTTAAAGCAAACTTTTTTTGGTTTGAATAGAGTGGTGGTGGGGTTCGTGGTGGTTATGGTGGGGGGGGGGGGGTTAACCCCTGTCACTTTTTTATTGCTATTAGTGTCCCCTCTGCGGAGAATTGCTCTATTTGTCCTGTTGACTAGTGTCACCTAGAACAAAGTGAGACATAATTAAAAATTTTGGGTTGGCTGATGAGGGGAAATCTTCAAAAGTCCTGGTGACAGCTGTCTGGGGTGGTATTTTACTCACTTTGGAGAGACCCCCCCCCCACTTCCTGTTGGGTCTGCACTTTAACTAAAAGAAAGAACCATAGGGTGGAACAAGTGTGCCTCTATGACAGGCAGCCTCAATAAAGTGTCAGAAACCTCCCCCAAAAAAATTAAAACCTTTCTAATAATGTTTAGAATTTCTCTGTGCCCTTTGTTTTTTTAATAGAATTTCTCTCTTATAAATATTATTCTTTGATCCTGACAGTCATTTGGACCATCCTATTCTCAGTGGTAATGATCTGTGGGTTCATAGAGTCTCTTCAGCCTTGCCACCACAGAGCAAATGCTCTCCATCTAGTACGTAAGCCATGTATTACCTGATAGACATAGCTTATCTCTTAGGTCATGTGGGCACATTTGTAACAAGCCCCTTATGTGTTAGCATGAGCAGGTGACAGGTCCTTTTTATGGAGACATCAGGGCCCATTAGACCCCCGTATCTTCTCTGCCCTCCACTGCAGCTAATCAAGCACAAATTGTGATGGAATAACTTAATGAATGAACTGAAACCAGAGGTGACAAAATGCCGATCACATCTGGCTTCATTACTTGCAGTGGTGGGATATACTGTAGATCTGGATTTTTTATAACCACTTTGTATAATAAACTGGATGAGGTGAAAGCTCTCCACAACTGCAGAAACTGTCAGCTCTTCGTAAATCAGATATTTAAATTCACACCATGGCGTGGCTTATTAATTATATCATTATAACCACTACCATTATAACCACTGTCATGCTACACATGCATTGTTGTTTGCTTTCCTTTAGATAAGTTTGTCCTTTCCTCACTCCCGTAGCTGGGAGATGCTCTGTAAAGTTAGTGTTTCTTTAGCTTCTGTTTCGTGCACATGCAATTGCTGGAGTTAGACATAGTATGATTTGTTTGACCTATCTGATGTTCATCTGTGAAGAAGATCTGCACGAGTTTTGGATTAAAGCTCACTATGATCTGCAAGATGTCATTTGGATCGTGTCACTGTCTGCTAGTTCTACTGAGACTGTAAGTTATAGCTATCTTGCCACAACTGGATCAGTTATAGAGATCGCCCTTTCTCTATAACAACACAGTTATATTTTATTAAGTAAAAGCAGAATGCATTACTTCTAAAATGGCAGGCACAGAAACATTTCGCTAGTATAATTTTTCTAAAGGCTTCCCTGTTTGGTTATAGTACATGTGTTTTATTGTTTAGTAATAATCGTGTTATCCTGCTTCATAGCAATCGTTTTATAAGAAGCACCGCTTCTGTAATAAATATTGGTTTTAAAATGAACAGACTGAATAACACATAAAAAAGTCTATTTTGAATAAAGAAGAAACCAACTGCAGTCATTTTCACTTGTATATCTTCAGATCAGTTTATTGTTTCTTTTATGGTTAAACATTCCTTTTTCTGCGGTTGTAAATATCCAGAACTTCAAGATGTTTTAGTAGCCTAACTAGCAGTACTTAATAAACGAGCAAGCTTTTTGCAGAACTGCAGTGAATAGGCTCTGGAATATATTAGCATTTGATTTCATAAGACACTGCTCATCAGGAGCTGACTTACACTTTGCTGTAAGCTGTGCTCTTGCTGTGTGCAGTCATTTCCAAGCTGCTTGATTAACATGTCTGAAATGGACCTTGATTTAGAGTTCTCTCTCGGAGTGCAATGATTGTACATTAAGAGGTTTAATAATATTACAAAAAGAGTGGTTTTACATGCTTTAGCAATGACTTAAAGTGATACTAAACCCACACTGTTTAATTTACATTGTCCCTTCTGTTTCTGTTTGTGGATGATGGCACATTATAATAATATTGGTAATTTTTTAATTAAAAAAAAAAAAATCTAAGTGCCTTTTTCCTAATCAATATACTGCTGTCACATGACCCAGCTCTTTCCCAGTCTATCTGCAGGGAAACATAAGCAGGAGGAGCTTCTAGTCCTGCTGGTCACATGTTCAAAATAAAAAAATGTTTAGAATACAAAGTAAAAATAAATAAAAAATATCAATAAACTGTTTTATGTTGGTATAAAAATATATAATTGAAATTGATTATTTTTTGGAAATAACATGGTGTGGGCGGATTTCTGCCAGTCGCAAGCTGTGTCACACCCCTCCAGCCTTTCTCTTAGAATAGGAGGGAGATGGAACAACCATTATTCTACATGTGATATCCCACCCCCATTGGACTTACTCCACATACACAGCACTGAGAGCAAGGCTACCTTCACATTAGTTGGCTGTGCGGTGCACTCCTTCCATGAGGGGGATACCACCACTGTTGCTGATGGTCGATGCTCCAGGATTAGTGCAGAAGGCTGATCTGTTTGGTGTTGAGCATCCTGAAAATGTGTTCGCCCCTTGGGACCACAACGTGGAGGTGAGGAGGCAATTTAGCTGGTGATGGATTGTTTACCATACAGATCACTCTCACTATCACTGATCACGTCTGCTGGATCACTGATCACGTCTGCTGGGGTGTCTTAATTTTTGGACTTTACACATATCAATGCTCTGTAGACTATTACACCATTGTTGGGATTTATTCACTATTTGTGGCATCCTATATGCCATTATAATACGTGGTTTCTTTGTTCATTTTATGTTCATTTTTTTCTTCCATTGTTGTGTTATTCGTGGTATTCACATGTAGTCCCACACTGGGATTTATTCTCCCTGCGTTTATCGTATATTGATTATTGCTACACCTTTCTTTATTATATATCTCACTATTTTTTACTTGCTACACCTATATAGTGTACTTATATAGAGTACTGCACAATGGCTGTATTTACTATTCAGTGTAAGTGTACCTGACAGGTCTGCCTTGATGGTAAGCAGTTTATAAGTGAATTTATTTTAGCAGTCCTGATACCCAGATTATAAATTAGGAAAGTCACGTCAACAATTGTATTCAGATAACAGCTGCAGTAATAATGTGCTATATTGAAAATTCATTGTGGTTTCCCTTCAGCAAAAATATCACTGTGCATGTATAATAAACAAGTTTAATGTAAAATACATGTTTGATGTTTGACACAATGCATAATTTTGAGTTTAGTTTAATGTACATTGAAAATCATCAAACCAAAAATCAAATAATGATGGCTTATGCTCAACAAGTAATGCATTCACATTCTTCCAAACAAAATTAGAAAATGTCAATTCATAAATACTGGCATGTCAAAAATGCCCTTTAAATGCCATGAGTGGAAATAAACATTAACATAATGTTCAGTCAGGAATGTTTTCTTTTTATTTAAATTGTGTCCAATAGTAGACAGAAGTCAAACAAGAGAATATATATTTTGTTTAAAGTACTAACCTGTGAAGCAGTATATAAAATGTTAATGGTTGTCATTCATAAATAAATTCCCATTATATTGTCTAAATCAGCCTTTCTCAACCAGGGTGCCCAGGCATCCTGGGGTGCCTTGAGGTTTCTTCTGGGGTGCCTTGGAAAAATGTCTAAAAATTGCTGAAAACTTGTATACAATCCAGCGGGTGGAACAAGCCTGCATTTTATATACACAAAGCCACAGGTTTTCATTGTGCACCATTATGACCTTCTAGCTGCCGGCGTCCTGACAAAAATGACATCATCATTTGATAAGGAGGGTGTCAGCTGTTTGCACAGCATCCTAGTTTGACCCTCCCCTGCCCCTCTCCATCAGTGCTGGGGACACATTAGATCAGTGGTGGAGAAAAACTGATGGAGAAGAGAAACATAGGAATATTGCTCAGTACCAGTGTGCAAAAGTGTATTTGCTTTGGAAGAATAAGTCACTTCTAATATTAGGTGTCTTACATGTGTGGATGTTGCTGCGTTATATAAAACTTTTCACATTTAGTATGGGGTGCTCTTTTAAAATTATGTACAGTCTTGAGGCCCTCCATTTTTTTTAGAATAGTTCATAATTTTAAAGGGTGCCTCGGGACTGTCCATAATTGTTAAGGGTGCTTTGACTGAAAAAAGGTTGAGAAACACTGGTCTAAATAGTGTAGGGCCATTTTTAGACATCATGTTATCCTAAGCACACCTGTATGATGACAACCTTTCAGGTACTGCAAGATGTTGCTCTGACTAATTCCTTTGTATCTGTAAATTTTAGTTTAAAGTGTTACTAAACCCAGGACCCCGCATTCACTATATCTGGTCTCCCACAGTACACAGAACATGGAAATGCAATTATTTTAGTAAATATAAACTGCTAAATACCTTTTCTCATCAGCAGTATATAGCAGTCTTGTGGCTTCTGTCAGTGTCCAGCAAAGCACTAGCTAAAGCTTGTAGGAGGAGTTTTTATTCTTCTCTAGAAAGATGGAAATCATCTGACCTCTGTCTGGACACTGCTGATTGGCCCTGTGCTGATCACATGTACACTCCCAAGAAAAAAAAAACTTCTCTAGCAATACACACGTACGGTTCAGTCTGGAGATAAGTGGTGGTCGCTTGAAAAAGGGGAGGAACAGAGAAAAAAGGATCAAACAGTGTTTTTACACAACGCAGAGGATTAACCCCTTAGGCTCCACAGCAAGTATAACAAGCATGCTTTACTGCATCTACAGACTGATTTTACTGTTGTGGGTTTAGTAACACTTTAAACTACTGAGTCTTGTAAATGGCAGCCTATACATCAAAGAAGCAAAAAGGAGAATACAGAAAACGCAAAAAAGAGTAAAAAATGTTACCTGGTGGCTCATACAATAAAACACAAATTATTAGCGTGCAATATTTCATATCTGACTAAATAAATATTTTGAATAATAAAATATTAAATATAAAAATATAGACAAAACCACTCTATATAGCTTTTAACAACAAAGTTTTGTGTTGTGTAAAAAGAGTTTACAAGGTTTCCTTGCACTACCTTTAAAAATATTCTCAAGACAATAAAATCCATTGTTCAAAGTAAAAGTCTAATCCATCACTTTATTTGATGGAGAAAATTTATCAGTAGAATACATAGCCAATGCTTCAAGTACACAACAATATGTTTACCTTTTCCCATGCTTATTATGTGATTATTTTTCATCAGAAAAGTAATTTTTTCTGCTTATGCAGGACTGTCGCTGTCACTACTGCAGACATCTGCAAAAAGCAGAATAATGTAAAAGTCCTTGTCCTGGAGTAGTCTATTTGGTAGTCATGTGGGATGTTATCCTACTTACAATGTCTTAAGGAAGGACGCACTTCATCTAGAGTTACTATGATCTTTCAGACAAGACAAGGAAAAAATGAACCTAATTTAGAACAGGTTCTAGACAAATTCTTCTTGTTGCACCGCTACCTCAAGTCAAAATGATCTTAACTCAGGGTTCCCAAGAGACACTTAATTGCTGATGCCACCATGATAAATGCCATCCGGGTAATTTATGACAGCTAGTAAAGTCTGCTCATTAATCCAGCAAAGCAAAATGCCTTGAGAGCATCAACTATACCACCAGTTTAAGCTAATTGCATTTTCGGTAGCCACAAGCCAGTAGAGATTACAGTATGTTACAAATCCAGTAAGCACACCATAATTATATCAACAATATCTGCTTGGATTTATTCAAAGCAAGTCCATTCCCATATGGAAGAAAAATATATTAGAAATATATTTTAAAAATATTCTTCCCAAATATATTGACATATATTTGAAATACTACAATTTTGGCCATATTCAATATATTTAAAATTTTTTTTTTATATATATATAAATATATATATATATATATATATATATATATATATATATACTGCATTATTATTATTATTATACAGGATTTATATAGCGCCAACAGTTTGCTCAGCGCTTTACAGTATAAAGGGAGACAATACAGCAACAATACAGTTCAATACAAGAGGGATAGGAGTGTCCTGCTCCTCGGAGCATGCATGTTGAAATGCGTTTTTATTACAAAATATATGAAAAATATTTTTACAAATACATTTCAAATATACTGTATGTCTTTAAAAATACAAATCTACATTTTTGGAATGCATTTACAAGTATATGCAAAAATATATGTTAAAATGACTTTTTTGTATGTTAAAAAAAATCTGAAGAATATAATTAAAAACAATATATTTTTAAAAATATATTTTTTTTAAATATATATTCTTCATATTCTTCAGCCCATTGGTTCATGCTGCTGTCAATCACAGCCAGGGAGCCAATGAAGGGGGGGGGCGGAGAGCAGAGTGGTGTCTTATGGATGCACAGAGCAGTGGCTCAAGCATGCTGCGGTGCCCCCAGGGCGAGCAGCTTTCCCTGGAGGTGTTGCTCGATGGGCAGGAGCCAGGAGCATTGGTGGGGACCCGAAAAGAAGAGGACCGGGGCTGTTCTGTGTAAAATCACTGCACAGAGCAGGTAAGCATAGACATGATTGTTATTTTAAAAAAAAAAAAAACCTAAGCTTTAGTGTCACTTTAATCTCTGTCAGTCTCTTTTCCCCTGCCTAGGTCTCTCTGTAAACTTCAGTTCACCTTATTTTTTCCCAGTTATTATTTCTTCTATGTTCTAGTTAATCACTTACCTTCTTCCAAATGGTCACGCTGTAAAGTTGTCTGCCCTCACAGCATGTTAAAGACTTCAAGTGGAACTAAACTGTATCTGAGCAACACAAACAGAAAACACTATTTAATTAATTTTTAAGCAAGCTCACCTCTCCATCCATGTCTCCATGCTTTATTGTGTTTAGAAATCACTTTGAAAACCCCCCCCCCTAGCATCTCTAGCTGCAGCCATTTTAAGTAAGAGCAAATGATTCATGTTGCATTTAATTTCTGGAATTCATCTGCCCTTAGCTCAGACATACAGGCAGAAGGGTGTGCTGAGCTGAGGAGGCCCCATCCTCCCCTCCTCTAGATGAAAAAAAAGTCCATGAAGAATTTGGGGATGTATTACATCATTTTGGCCTAGATCAGAAACCAAGAAGTAACTGAAAAAAAATGGTTAAAACAAGCAAATATTATATACTGTCCTTTATATTTATTAAGACATAAGATTAAAATTAGGTAATATTAATTGAGAGAGTATAACTGTCCAGCATCTTCATCAGAACGCTAGAATGACCAGCATAGACCCAAGTCAATTACGTGATCAGGTTTTTACAGCTCAATTCCTTGATCATCTGATCAGGTATTCATATACTCAAAACACACGGCCAAGGCAACAAAGGGGTGGCTCAAGAAGAAGCACATTAAGGTCCTGGAGTGGCCTAGCCAGTCTCCAGACCTTAGTCCAGTGGTTCTCAACCTTCCTAATGTCGTGACCCTTTTATACAGTTCCTCATGTTGTAGTGACCCCCAACCATAAAATTATTTACCCAGTAATTATAATTCATGAAGTGTCGTTTTACCTCCAATACTGCTGCTTTCTACACAGTGGCTGCTTTCTACACAGCAGCTGCTCTTTACACATTGGAAATATGTGTTTTCTGATGGTCTTAGGCGACCCCTGTGAAAGGGTCGTTCGACCCACAGGTTGAGAACCACTGCCTTAATCCAATTGAAAATCTGTGGAGGGAGCTGAATGTTTGAGTTGCCAAATGTCAGCCACCAAACCTTAATGACTTGGAGAGGATCTGCCAAGAGGAGTGGGCCAAAATCCCTCCTGAGATGTGTGCAAACCTGATGGCCAACTACAGGAAACATCTGACCTCTGTGATTGCCAACAAGGGATTTGCCACCAAGTACTAAGTCATGTTTTGTGAAGGGGATTAAATAATTATTTCCCTCATGAACATGCAAATCAGTGCATAATTTGTTAGACATGCATTTCTTTTGGATTCTTGTTGCTATTCTGTCTCTCAGTGTTACAATACACCTACCATTCAAATTTTAGACTGATCATTTCTTTGTGAGTGGGCAAACATTCAAAATCAGCAGAGGATCAAATACTTATTACCTTCACTGTATATATATATATATATATATATATATATATATATATAAATAATATGCTGTGTATATATATATATATATATATATATATATATATATATATATATATAAATATATAAAAATGTGTGTGTCTATACATTTTTAATACATATTGTACATACATTGCAGGAATATTCAAACTAAATTATATATAAATTGTGTTTATATTAACTTTTGTTCATATGCAAAGCAAAATCCTATTGATAACATTTTTCTGTGCAAGATTAGGTATATAAATTGAGCTCTGCCTTATAATCAATCTCTCTGTGTACATAGAGTTACTTGAGCGTTTTTTTTTTAATTTGCAGTGTATTAGGAATACTGTATTGCTGAGTGAAAAAAAAAATAACTACCTCTAAGATTCCTAAATGATATAAACAGCATCAGCATGCTTCTTCACAATTATAGCCATGGAATATTGGTATGACCTTTATTCCCTATTATTTACAGCAGGGGTACTTATGAAATTATCATGTTCCAAACACAATAACTGTTTTATAATCAACTGTACTATAAAATCTAAAAATCTGAACAAAATTATGCTGAATATGAAAAATACAAATAATATTTTTTCTATTGAACTGCCTCATGAAAGCAGCTCCTTTATTCATTTAAAAAAGGCAAGTGGGGCTTGTAGAGGTGCACATAAGCGCTGTCAGAGAAATATTATGGACCCAGGTGCTCGTTTGTTGGTGGAGGCTAAGCCTTCGTTATCCCCATGTAAATGTCATTGTGACATCGGAGACAGCCCAAGACAGAAAAAAGTTAGTATTAGGATTAAGCATGGTTTAGCAAATGGAATCATTCATGCATTACCATTGCCTTTTTATGTAAATAAAGTGCAATGCCATACCAAAGAAAACAGAGGGAAAGTGCATGTTTACCATTTACTTGTTTTATGGTAACAAGCTGTGTAAACTCTTAACTTTGAATGGCTGTAGAGAACACTGAAGATAAACATGTACAACTTATGTAGGAGGATTTTCTTAATGTCTATGTATCACCCGAGGCCAGTCACTTTACTGGGTATATGTAAGGGTTTACAACCACTTTAATTGTTTAGTATAGATGTGTGATGTCTGTTTCCACAACCTGTTCTCTGCACTCATTTTGAAAAATATGACACAACCAAGCACCGCTGAAAATACTTGTAATAGATGATTTCATTAGCTCTTTGAAGTGATACCAAGCCTAAATTACTGCAAAAAATGACATAAGTATTCAAACCTAATAACTTACCAAACGCCTGTATATTATTTGCTTCATTACATCCTTGTAAAGCTGGTGGCAAAAAAAGCACTTACCAAATTATTATTAATACGCTGTTTTATTAGGGAGAATATATTTGTTTTCTTAATTACAGTATTCAGGAAAAAAAGCACTTCA